TGTAACTTTCCTAACTTAAGATAAACAGCAAAAACCTAAATATAGAGTTTTTGATTAATAAAAATAAATTAATAAAATAATTTATTAAACATATTGAAAAATCTGAACTCGAGAATAAGTGACATCAATAAAAATTAAAAAAAAAGTTTTTTTTTAAACTTTTGAATGAATGATCTTGTTAAGGTTAATTACGAACTTTCATAAGGGGTGGTTTAGGCATATGAGATTTTGACGCCATTTTTATAGGGGATAAATGCACATAAACAAAACCAACCTCAGTTGTTAAGAGAATGTTTTTTTCAATTAAGAAGATACAATGGATAATTTTGAATAAAAAACAATTTTATAAAATGATTTTTAGACCATTGCTCATCTACAAATTGTACCTTACACGAGTTGCGGATCAGAATATTTAAATTTAAACAGTGTCCTTTCCATGCATAAAAACCAAAATAAAAGGCAAAATGACGTTTTGTAGTCAAAAATTTCTTGGATTCTACAAGCATCCCCCTTCAACTATCTCTTTAATCAAAGAAGCCTCAATGTATCATTTTATAACTTCATTTTTAAAAATTATACTTTGATTATAAGAGAAAGCAGTTTAGGACAGCCAGAAAAACTGTGACTTTTAAAACCGATTTTAGTTCACCTGATGTTCACATTGCTTGTTAGTTTTAAAAATCATATGGAGAAAAATTCTTCCTGCTGTAGTTTTATTTAAAAATAAGATTCCACCAATATTTTATTTTGAATTGCTGGTTTCAATAATGTTATTTTTGAATTATTGGTTTCAAAAAATGTTGATATGTCCTTTTATTGTTATTATTTATAAAAAACTTTCATGAAGCAAAGGAAAAAATATCATGAGTTCAAAAATGATATTTTCAAAGTAAAAGGCTTATTTTTTATGACCCTGTCTAACCAAATCAAACATATCAGTACGCCTTGCTTTTAAAAAAATGAACACACAACAGTTATTGTCATAAACCTAGAAAATTAGAAATTCCAGAGAGATTTTATAAAAATAAAATATCAAGTCAAAAATGAAGGAAACAAACTTTTGAATTGCATTGTCACAATGTTTTATCTTCACGTATAAAATCTACATCACTATCTCTACTATCTCTTTATAAAAATGCCTTCTTTTCGATGCTTTTTCTTTATAAAAATGCGTTGTTATTACATTAAAGAAAACTAAACTTATAATACTAACTTCATCAGATCACAAAAAGTTTACTCTTAGAAGTAATATTATTTGCATAATGGGAAAAAAAAATTATACTGCTACAAAATCTACTAAAAACATTATTTTACTAAAATTATTATATAAATATTAACAAGAAATGTGTTCAAGCAAAGAAAATAATTTTCTATCCTTTCAACTTATTTACAATGATATTCAGCAACATATACAAAGAAATTTAACTGAAATAAATATTAACATTAAGAAAATATACATAACTGATCCTATTAAGTATATAGATTATAATAAAATTTAAAAAAGTTCAGACTCATGGCTAAACGAAGTATCTTGTGTCGAAATTCTTGTTGTGCATATACTGGAAAAAATTCAAAAGCCTAATATACCACACTAGTTTTCACTATCTGGTATTAAATAGTACAGATATGTAAATATTGCTGAAAAAATACAACTTCCATGTGCTGAAATACCATTATACATCAAATACCATAATAATTATTCAGTTTGTGTATTATTATAGTGAGGAAACTCAAGAGTGCTGAAATTAAAATTTGCAGTTTGAAATTGTATTGAACTTTTCGAAATTGTGCACAGTCTATTGTCATTTAAGTTAAACAATGTCTATTATTGACAAATACTTTGCGAATTCTTTTTTGATAAATAGGATAATCTGGTTGAAGTACAACATTGTCAAGCAATGGCACAAAATACTATCCATGCAACAAAAAATATTAATTGTGCATTTGGAAACTGGTAAAACATGGGTCATAACAACCAATGCATGAATACAAGTTATTAGAATTAAGATAATTTAGTTATTTTATCTATTGCTCAATTACCAGTGCCTTTACAATCTTAATTCACAATAGTAAATATGGACTAATAAGTAGTAATATCAAATAAAACATTGCAGTTGGATAAAAGGTATTTTCATTATAACAGATTATTTTTGATTAATGTATTAGGTTTTAATAACTTTGTTGATAAAGATTTATTTTTCACTTTTAATAATAATTGATTATTAAATTTTGGGAGAACTTTTACTTTTATAGACTCTAATTTTATTTTTCTAGTATTTTTCTGCATTACCTTTTTCTAGTCTTTTTTTAATCGGTTATTTTTTTACAATGAAAAAAATAACAAAACTAAATTATTTTGTCATTATTTTTTCTATTATATTAAGATAAGATATTTTAAAATTATTCTTTAAGATAATAGGAAATAGTAGGAGATGATAGGAAATAGTAGGAGCAGTTTCTTGAAGATTCGATAAAACTAAAGATAAAACTAGATATTGTTAGCAATATCTAGTTTTATTGTATGTCAATTCTATTTATATCTATTGGAAGGTTTTGGTTTGTGAATGATTAAAGAATTAATTAATTATAATTAATAACAGATTAAATTAATCTGTTTGAATTTAATTTTTCATTTTTTGCATAAACTTTTATGAATAACATACTGTATTACTGATATATATTATAGATGTTACCTATATTTGAACTCCAATCTTCATAAAATTAATCCATTCGACCAATTTATGGTAGTTAAGAAGATTGAACTAAAACAAAGTATTATTCAATAAGTCCCATCTCCTTTTTTTCGTACTAACGTTATTGTAACATAAATATGAAGTATAAAACCACTTTATATTGTTAATATCTTTGTAATAATAATTATTTCAACAAAAAACACCCAAATTTTGACTACCAAAGTCATTTACAAAATCTAAAACAAAGAAAAACCTTTTATAATTGGAGACAAAGATTACAAATATTATCTCCGCGAGAAGTTTCACATATTATCATATAAAGGAAAAAACTTACATAATAAAAGATATGAAATAATATCAAAGTGTCGGCATTCAAAAAAAATTTTATTATCCTTATTTGATACCGGGGACTAAAACCTTTGACGTCTTTTTGTTTTGTTTTGTTTTGTTTGGTAACGTCAGAACTCGTTCCACCGTAATTTGCTTTTATAAACTCAAAGTTTGTAACATGGTGGCAATTGCAACTAAGTGAAAGTTGAATACAAAAACTGTTAAAGTCAAATACAACGCACTGAAGGAAGTATTAGATGGCATCTCAAAGTCTAAGGTCGCTTTAAAATATAATATACCAAAGAACACCTTATCTACCTGGTTGAGAAACAAGGAAAAGATTTTTGATGCTGTGGAGAAAAGAAAGAACCCAAAACGTCAGTGTATGAGGAAACGGTCATTTGCAAATTTGGATCAAGCCTTTTCAAATGGCTTCTGATTGTTCATAGCAGAGATGTCACTGTCTCTGCTTTAATTCTCAAAACTTTTTTTCTCAAAGCCATGGAATTTGCTGAATGAATGAGCGTCACAAATTTTCATGCTTCAGATGGTTGGTTAGAGCGTTGGAAGAAACGATACAACATATCATTTAAAACAGTTTCTGGTGAAGCTAATGCATGTACAAGTGAAATGGTAGCACCATGGGAGGAAACCACAATATCAACCATTATATCAAAATATAAGTTGAACCAGATTTAAAATACTGATGAATTTGGCTTGTTTTATCGGTTCCAACCAAATAAATCTTTACATTTTTAAAATGAAAAATGTGTCAGTTGGAAACACAGCAAACTACGTCTTACAGGATTGGCTTCTGCTAATGCATTAGGGAAAAAATTGCCAATCTTTGTTATTGACAAAGCTAAATTGCCCAGATGCTTTAAAAATATAAAGCATTTGCTCTGCTGTTATGGCAGTCAGAAGAAAAGTTGGATGGATGGCACACTATTCGCGGAATGGGTTTGTGAAATTGATTGGCAATTTACGAAGGAAGGACTAAAAATTGTTTTATTAGTTGATAATTGTCCAGCTCATCCAATCATTGATAATCTTGAATAAATAGAATTAATCTTTTTACCACCAAACACTACCTTGAAGCTCCAGCTGATAGACCAGGGCATGATTCCGGAATTTACTATGATGGATGCCATGCAAATGGTTGATGTTTCTTGGGGGAAGGTGAAGACCGAAACTATTTGCAATTGCTTTGCTAAAGCTGGAATTTCAGAGAAAATGTGTTTTGACACCTCAGTAGATGTGGATGATGCCTTTGAGGATCTCAAAGACAGTTAGAAAAGCTTGCTGTTCATACATCCGAGTTCTTCCCTGAAGGAACAACAGTAAAAGATGTCGTGCCCATGGATGATTTTGTCAACACTGCCAACCCAATAATGAATGATGAGGAGATTATATCAGATGTTTTAGGAGAAGAAAATTTTGAGGCTGAAAAAGATGAAGATAGTGATGTAGATTTTTTGATCGAACTAACTTGCCCTCAATCGGGTGATATACATCAAGCCCTGGAAGTACTACAAAGCTACATGATATTCAATGACAATGGAAAGTGTATTCATAAATGTATAAACCAAATAAGCTTAGTTGTGGAAAAAGAGTTATCATAGAAGCTAATACAATTGGATATACATAGCTTCTTTAACTGAACTTTTTTGCACACTTTTTATTACTATAATAGTGTATATTTAATGTTTATACTTTAGCATTGAATAAATAAAAATTGCCTTAACTCGAACTAATATCTCATATCTGTCAAAGTTCGACATTATGGGACATCGCTTAAGTTGAACATTTGTCGAACCATTCTTTGGTCCCTTAAAGGTTTGAGCTATCGGTAATTAAATGTGTATATATATATATATATATATATATATATATATATATATATATATATATATATATATATATATATATATATATATATATATATATATATATATATATATATATTTATTAATGTAGGACATATTTTTGCAACAAAATACATTTGCAAATCAGGTGGTTAATGATGTTTGGATGGGCAAGGCTTTAACTGTGCAGGTATGCTGTTGTGTGTTATTAAACTTATATGTTATTTTAATATTAAATTGAATTTTTTTAATTTTATTTAGGGCACGCATACTGAGATATCAGATAATTTTGAAATAAACTACTTCATCTTTAGATCAATTTGGTAATTTGATTTTTAAAATTATTTATATTTAGATCATATATTTTTTAAAGGTTATACTGTTGTCATTATATTTTTGCTTAAAAATTACTACCGGGGTAACTACTTCACCAATACTTTCACATGCTCAACTAGTTTCTTGTTTGCTCTTAGTTACCCTGTACCAAGTACCTATTTGTTTTCTTCTATACCTTGCACCTAGCTAACCCTAACTACTATTGCTTTTATATAATTATTGCTGCTCCACTAATGACCAATTTCTTCTGACATCTACTGATACCAAACATCTATAAAATAATAATCTGAATATTTTGTAATATATAATAATATTGAAATGCGTGAATAAAAAAAAATGTTTCAATATAATGCATGTGAATAAATTTTGAATTTCAACATAAGCATATGATTTTTATGTCTTGTACAATTTTTAATCTTAAAAGTCTTTATTTCAAATATTTATAATTGTCTGCAAATAATTTTTAAAGTTAAAATTATAAATATTATTAATGTTTTATAATTTTCTTATAAAATGTATGATAAATGTATGTTGTATTGAGTGATAACCCTGATACTCGCACATGGCTATCGATAAATGATAACCCTGATATACTCGAACAAGGCTGCTACCCAATTAAATAAGTTAAGCATAGTACTACCATGGCTTTGGTGGGAATTAATCTTGGTACTTCTTGCCTACGAAGCAAGCGTTCTTCCACTCTACCGTGATATGAAAATATATAAAAATATTTTTAATGAGTTTTAAATAAGAATTAAAATACTTTTTATGTATGAATGAAAATATTTTAAGTTGTTTTGTTTTAATTTTTATTTATTCTATTATTATTGAGTAGAGTCAAAAAGATCCAGTATTCATCATAAAAATGAAATAAAATATTAAAAAAGAATTAAAAAATAAGACTAAAAATGTTTTTTCAATAAAAAGATTGCCTGCCCAAACCAAAACCCTGGGTCAATGTAGCTGCACTCCTCGCATGTTCTACCTATTTAAGTCAGTCTATGTATGTACATTCTGCTGTGCCAAATGCTAAATGTATTTGTAAAACAAAATTTAAAAAAATATAAAACAAATAAAATTGAATAATAAAAACAGTATAAAACATTAAAAAAATAAAAACAAACATATTCTACATTTAAAAAAAAAGATTCAAGTATATATATATATATATATATATATATATATATATATATATATATATATATATATATATATATATATATATATATATATATATATATATATATATATATATATATGCCCATTTATTCGTAATCTAAAATTGTTAGTTTTGCCAGTATATGTGGCTTGTTTTTTGCATGCCAAACATTTAATTTAAATTACATTTTTGCTGTTGCATGTGATGTGACTTTTTATTTTCCAGATAGTACCATTAGAAGTTTCAAACTCATCTACTTCTTAAAGGTAGAGTCTGCATATTTTACACTGAATGTCTTTGCATTTAAATATGACAATCTTCTTATTATTTGCTTCAACTTTTGAAGAAGTAAGTCTTCTTAGTAAGTTAGGAGGTTGTTTAAAAGCTAATACTGAATATTAGAAAAAACATTTTTGACTCTTTCATTATGAGATACTTTAAGTAAAAGGTTAGCTTCTGAGATTAAAGGTTAACAAATGAGATTACTATAGAATGTTGTCACTAAAGGAAATATTTCTTTAGACTTCCTTTGTGGTGCTGGTCCTTGTAGTTTTGCATTATGGAATGCCTTATCTATAAATACATCAGGATATTCACAATCTTTCAACCATGACTTTTGTTCTGCTAGACAAAGTTTTTGTAATTAGATGTAAAAACAATTATTCTTTTAGCTAAGCTATAAGGAATATTCTTTTTGATGCATAATGGATGATGGCTGTTATAGTTTAAGAGTCATGAGTGTTTCTTTATAATAAATGTTTGTTTGAATTTTTTTGTAGTTTTCAAGAATTATAAAATCACTTGAAAAACATGAGTATCTATACTACAAGCATACCAGATATACCAACCTCCTCAATATTTTTATACCATGATTGTTTAGAATAAGAACCATTATTTATCCCCAGAAAGTTTAGAAGTGATAACTTTCATTTTATGTCAAATGAGGAAGAAAATGCAATTAAAAAGTTTGATTTACAACGTCTCAAGTTGGAATGTTAAATCCTTTCTATAAGAAAAAATAATTTTCTTACGTCATTGAAAAAACCTAGATGATGAAGTATCCAATTTTATTATTAATCGCGCCTTGAGTGATGAACTTCATGAAAAGTTAATTCATCGATATCAAGAATGCTAAGATGAAGATATTGAACGCATCAATAAAAAATGGTCCAAAAAAGTGAGTTCTACTAAAATTGCTTTCAAAAAAGATAAAAAGTATTTAAATTTTAAAAAATATTCATCACATTACATAAATAATAATAATAATATTGGCATAAGTTCTATTGTATCCAATAACAATGGCATCCACCATGATCAACAAACAAAATCAATACCGTCAAAAAACTGGACAAGCCCAAATACAAAAAAATACAACCTAAGGTCATCAACCTATCTACCAAACACTTGACACCTTCTCAAATAACTCTTCTCACCAAAGGTCTAAAATTTTGCCTGGTTAGAAATGGTAATTTCTTACATATCAATTCAGATATTAAAAATTTTACTAGGAAACTTATACTAAAAGAAAAATTTTATCGTACCACAAGTAACAATATTAGTATAATTTAAAAAAAAACTTATTATTGTACCAAAATCACTCTGCCAGAATTAAACAAAATTATTTCACAAATTGAACAAACTAAACCTATTATAGTTCAATATATTGATAACATTACAAAACAAGAAAGAGCAGCGATTAAAGAATTAAAAGAAATGAATGACAGTCATTAAAAAAGCTGACAAAGGTAATACTTTTGTTGTAATGGATTCGACATTTTATACTAACAAACTTGTTTATCAAGACCATCTTTTTTCTGTTAATACGTATGAAAAAATAAGTTCTGTTTCCGATAAAATAGTTTTTAGCAATCTTATTAAATTGATAAACAAACATAAATACCTCACGACAAATGAGATAAAATCACAAACTTTAAATGGAAATTTTGTAATTTCTATGTAATTCCTAAAATTCACAAAGGCCAAGAAATCATTAATAAGGTAAAAGAGTTTGACTCTTTATTTATTGAAATGAAACCACCAAAAGATCTTAAAGGTAGACCAATTATTCCCAAAATAAATTTGCCAACATATCATTTGAGCCAGTTTTTACATATAATTTTATCACCAATTGTAAAGAAACAAAATCTTTTGTTAAAGATGACTTGGATTTCTTCAGAAAGTTCCAAGACAGTTTGAATCAGAAAGTCATATAATGACATGTGACATTGTTAATTTTTACACAAGTATCCCACATTATCTTGGTTTAGAAGCCCTAAAGTTCTGAATATTTAAATATAAAGAATTGATAGATAAAAGATTTACACCTGAATTCATAATTGAGTCAGCATCTTTTGTTTTAAATAACAATAATTTTATATTCAATAAATAATTATTTCACCAAACAACTGGTACAGCCATGGGTACAGATTTCGCACTAGATTATGTTTGTCTCACTATCAGGTTTCTAGAAGAGACTAAGCTTTTTACAATAATCTTACCTCAGTATTTTTCAAACCATAAAGTAGATGATATAAAAAAATTTTATTTTAGATATATTGATGATGGTTTTATAATCTGGCCAAAACATCTTGACATCATAAATTTTAAAATTTCTCTTACTGAATTAAACGAATCAATTAGTTTTACAACCAATTTTGGCAAAGAATTTTCTAAAAATGATAACACCTACAGTGTAATTAACTTTTTAGATATCACAGTTACTCTTGAAAACTACAAAAAAATTCAAACAGACATTTATTATAAAGAAACACTCATGACTCTTAAACTATAACAGCCATCATTTATTACACATCAAAAAGAATATTCCTTATAATTTAGCTAAAAGAACAATTGTTTTTACATCTAATTACGAAATTGAAAAACTTTGTCTAGCAGAACTAAAGTCGTGATTGAAAGATTGTGAATATCCTGATGTATTTATCGATAAGGCATATCCTTATAGATTTGACAACCATGTCTATACCTGTCAACGTTCCCACCAAAATGTAATTGAACCTTTTTTTCAACTTTTTGTTTCCCTTGAGCTTAGCAATAAAAGTTTTTTGTTATCATACGAAAAGCATCTGCACAAACAAAAACACTTTTAATTGATACTTCCTGTGTATTATTAGAATTTAGTTCATCAAAATAGTTACTCATAGCAACAAAATGCAATTAAATTTATTTTGTTCACAAAAATCTTGCTACAATACCAAATCAGCACTACTGATGATTTTTTGAAAGACCTCTAGTGCGTAAAGTTTATTTAATTATATAAAAATATTTTGAGAAAAAGAGATTTACTTTTGTTTACTGGCTGGACTATCTTTTGCTTTATATTGGTTAAATATCATATTTCAGGAAGTCACATGTCTTAACTACTGCAATTTTTCACACATTTGTGTAATTTGCTGACACTATTGTAAAAAGAATTCTTTAGAAATGATTACTTAAGCTTTTTTAAATAATAATATATTTTTTTCAAAGGGGAGTTAATGTAACTATTATTTGAGCTCACTTATTTTTATAGTTTTTTAGGAGAAACTTATTTTTGTGCCTGCATTTAGAAATCAATTCCGATTTTTTATTTAATAAACATTCTTGGTTTGTATGTGTAATTATTTCAAATTTTTCTTGTAGACATAGTATGCATTTGTTAGAAATATTGTTATATGCAGGCACTGTTTTAAGGATGGACCAATTCAGTGTAAAATCATCAATATTTTCATCTTTTAATTCCCATATATATTTTGACAGCATGGTGTCTTTTGAATACTTTTTATTTTTAAAAGATTGCTTATGATTGGCAAAACGTTTTTTCCATTCACC